CAGTGACATTCAGAAAGTCACAAATTGACTCTGTGCTAAGGAGTATCGGTGAAGATCTTGTTTTTATTTTGACTGATCAAGGAAGATTTGGAAAACTGAGGCATAAATGCATAAAAGAGTCCAGGGACTCTTAACTCTCATTGAAATCAATAGAAAATGTTTGTGGCAATTTAGTATATTCCATTCATTTTAAGTGATACCTCAATGTAATTCAGATTTGATGTACCATACAGATCAAACAGAAGCGCTAGTTTGAGATAGTGGTTAAGTCAGTGGATTAGAAACCAAGGGACTGTGATTTCTAGTTTTGTTTTGGGTACTAAGCCAACTCGGTGACCTTGGGCCAGTCACTCATACTCAGCCCAAGGAAGCAAACCAGTTCAGGAAAAACCTTGACCAGAAAACTGCAGGGTTTTTATCCAGGGAGTTGTCAGGAGTGGAAAACTGACTCAAAGGCACACAGATCAAACAAGAAACATTTGTTATTCATAATTCTCCAGCTGATGGCGTAGGAGGGTCCAGAAGTGGGAGTTCAATCCATATTTGCCCAAGAGACTGAGTCAGAATTGAAGCCACGCCTCCAGCTTCCCCTGCTGACTTCCAATTCCGACTCAGTCTTGCCCAAGAAGAGATGCATTTTTTCATTGCTGTGAGTTAGCATTTTAGTTTTAGTGTTATTTTCCTTTAAGTCACCTTTTCTCTCTTGCCTTGACTGCTGGATGGTGGGGGACTTGGCTCACAAGTTCTTTTTCACCATATTCGATTTGTATCTGAGACAATTCAAACCGGGAGCCTGTTGGAGGCTTTTACCGGGTGCTTCTTACTAAGGTGCTGCTAGCTGCGCCGGCTATCGGGGCTTTGTTGTGGCGTCCTTTTACATTTTCCCATTGTGGTCGCCTATTTGTGGGCTTCCTCAGAGGCTCTGATTTGCCACTGGCTCTCAGAGGCAATGACGGGCTGCTGGCAATGCGACAGGCGAAGGGGGAGCGCAGTCAGAGCGCTGGCACTTCTGCAGGGCTTGTGCCAAAGCTGCGCGACCAATCGAGCTCTCGGGGCTGTTTTTCCTCCCCAGGAACACCAAACTTGGTTGCATGGTTTTCCATGTGAGTATGGGACCCTGGCGGTGGCCCCGAGCAACCCTTCGTGATCCAAGCAGATGCCAGCGACATGGCAGTGGGAGCGGTGCTACTCCAAAGAAACAACCAAGGAAACCTACAACCCTGCGCCTACACCTCCCACAAGCTCACAGACGCAGAGAGATGATGGGCCGCATGGGAAAAGGAGGCTTTTGCAGTGAGATGGGCACTGCTAACCTGGAGACACCTGTTGGAAGGGGGCCAGAAACTGTTCGAAGTCTGGACTGACCACAAGAATCTGGAGGCTCTTAGGGCTCCACGGAAACGATCACCCAAACAAGTCCGATGGGCTCAATATTTCAACTGCTTCAACTTCGTACTAAAGCACATTCCAGGGCAGAGGAACTTCCTAGCTGACGCCCTCTCCCGTATGCCCCAATACAAATGCAAACGGGAGCAGGTGTTGGACGCCATCATTCCCCTCTCACTGAAATGTGGGTTTTCAGGTGCTTCACCAGCCACGACCCCAGTTAAGGGGTGGGGGAGTGGCCGTTGTTATCCGAGAGTCGTTAGTTCCTCATAGGACCCCTGCTCCGGAACTTGTTGGGTGTGAGTCCTTGCTGGTGAGGTTGGATCCTGGGGGTCAAGTGGGCATGCTGCTAACGTACCTGCCTCCTAACAGCGTTGCAGCAGCCCTCCCCTCATTCCTCGAGTCAGTAGCCGAGCTGGCAATTGAGTTTCCCAGATTTATGGTGCTGGGGGATATTCAACTTGCCTTCGCTCGGTGAGCACTCTGATAGGGCGCAGGAGTTCATGGCTTCCATGACAGCCATTGGCTTGACCCAAGTAATTCGGAACCCGACGGACTCAGC